AACAGATGGCTGGGGAGATACCTCAGTGGTTTAAGCACCTGCCTGGCAAGGGCAAGGGCCTGAGTTCAATCCCTGGTACCACATGTGTGCCAGCCCTTGTAGCAAGACCCTGTATCAAATAAATAAAAATCATTTAAAAAACAATAGAGGGCCAGGGAAATGGCTCAGTAGAACAGGCGCTTCCCTGGCAAGTGCAAGGGCCTGAGTTCAATCCCCGGTTCTGCCAAAAAAAGAAAAAAAAGAAAAAAAAATAGAGATTAACTGATCTCATTCATTTATGTAGAATTCTCACGTAAGTTGTTCAGTGCCTGTTTAATTGAGCTTCTGTGAAGACAGTGTCCATCAGAAGAGAAATTAGCAAAGGAGAGTCACTTTCCTTACTTGGACAGAATACTCAACTTGGAGGAGGAGTGGTGTATTTGGACTAATACTAGAGGTTTCCGGCACTGGTGGGCTGGCTCCAACACAGAAAAGGCTTGTTTCCTGACCCTGTGTCAGCCAGGCAATGGGGACAAAAGGGAGGAGCCAGAGACAAGAATACACCCTCCTGGGTTACGCCCAGTGGCCTTCTTCCAGCCCTGCCCCACCTTTGAGCACATGTAGGCATGAGCTCACCAGTATTAACCCACTCACTGATGAGTACAGTGCCCCCATGACCAGTCACCTTCCAAAGGTCCCCGCATCTCAACATCAGTCTCCAGGCTGTTTAGATCTAAATCATAGCAGGTGATCTGCGTTATTACATTATTGGTCCATGTATTGGCTCCTCTCACCTTTGTGTGTCCTGTAGATGATGAGACTATGCGCAGCGTATGTCTTTCCTCCAGTCACTGGTGAGATCATTCAATGGAGGGGGAATATTAACAGACTGTCATATTCCTGGAGAGATGGTTCTCGAGCTTGTCCTTCATCTCTTTAATACTTGAAGAAGCGGTTTTTTAATCAAGTGAACTATTCATTATCCTAGTTTTAAGTTCTCTTTATATGATAGAACATTTTCTTTATCTTTAGAAAGGTATTGAATCCCTCTTCTCATCTGAGTCCTCATAAAAGAAAGATTGTTTCTTAAGTATTTATTCTTAATGGGTCTTCCAAATTTCTAGTATTTGTGGTTTTTAATTGATTTTCTTATAGATACTTGTTTTATTAGTGAATCAGCATCAAGTTTACTTTTTATATTTTAAAAAATTGGAACAGCACTGCACATCTTTTTCTTTCCTAATTTGTCATGCTTCCTCATCAAGAGTGGTTTGAGCTGTCATGGTGGTGCACACCTATAATCCTAGCTCTCAGGAGGCTGAGACAGGAGGATCAAAAGTTTGAGACCATCCTGAGCTTCGTAGCAGTTTCAAGGCTGGCTTGGAATATGTAGTGGGACTCTTTGTCTCAGACAAAACAAAACAAAGAGTAGTTTGAGATCACATGTGAAAAGATTGTTTAATTTCCTGAGATTTTTTTTTTGTAATTTTGTAAAATTTTTTGTCCTGGAGATGTGATGTCATAAAAGGTAGATAACTTTCTTAACTACTTCAATTCCTTGAAGGAGATCAATTTATCTTCTGTGTTATAGGACGTGAGGTCTTTCTTGTGTTGGCAGTGCTGTCTCTACATCCACTGTCCATGCCCAATTAAAAAGCTGTTGACTGCATGTGTCATGACAAACTTCAAAAATTCTCAGTTTATTATACATTTTAGTTTTAAAATCAGTATTCTTCATGGACTCCTTATAGTCAGGACCATTTAGCTAACAACTTGGAGGATAAGATATTTAGGATTGTGAATTGCTATTCTTTTCATTCCAACCTCTAAGTTTATATTAGTAATTCTCCAGGGGGTACCTTTGTTCTCTGGGAGGTCTTTGGGGCAGTATCTGGAGACATTTGTCCTTGTCCTCAGTGGGAGTGGGGCATAGCTGTTACTGACAGCAAGTAGCTAGAGCCAGAGGTGCTGCTAGGTTGCCTGCATTGCAGAGCAGAGTGATCTGGGCCTACAGTGTTGGAAGTGCTCAGGCACCTGACACACATTAACATTTTTGAATACTTAGAAGTTGGTGCTCAGTGGCATAAGAGCTTGCCTGGCAAGCACATGGGCCTAAGTTTGAGTCCTAAAAAAAACTAGTTAAGTATATTTAACTATATTATCTGACTTACATTTGAGTGACCCTTTGGGGTACATGGTATCATCAATTCATTGAGGAGCTGGATACAAACCTTAGACTTTTGTTACAGAAAAATTTTAATAAGTATTCACAATGCAAGGTTTTTTTGGGGGATGGCTTACATGTGGGTTTTACCTGTTTTGCAGGGAAAGATATTTATAGTATTGAAGTACATAACTTATTTTTAATATTACAGATCTAGAAATGGCCATTGCATACTGGAACTTAGTTCTTAATGGAAGATTTAAATTCTTAGACTTATGGAATAAATTTTTGTTGGTAAGTTCATGTTTTCTGCAGTTTCATGTATCTAAAATTACGATCCTCTTAAATTAACATGTTAAGGCATGACTAACTCATCTCAAGCATATAGTGAATGTAGAATGAGAAATTTGATTACCAAAATACCATTATACAATTTTTTTGTACTTGTGCTTTTAATACCATCTTTATTTTTTTTTCTAGCTCTTCAGTGATGTTTTCTGTTTTGTTTTGTTTTTTTAATAGGAACATCATAAACGATCAATACCAAAAGATACTTGGAATCTTCTTTTAGACTTCAGTACAATGATTGCAGATGACATGTCTAATTATGATGAAGAAGGTAATGACAATTTCTGCCTATTTTTTTCATCAGTATGTTTGTAGGTATGACTACATTGTTTTCATCACACATTCCTGAACTTTCTGTCCACATATGTTTTCCTTAGTATTGAACTTTCTCTTTTTATTTATGTAGTTTTTTTCTTTTTTTCTGGTGCCAGGTGTGAAACTCAGCTACATACTAGTTGTCTCATCAAGTCACATCTCCAGCCTGTTTATGCTTTTCTGATTGTTAGAAATGCTTTTTAACAATGTTACCTTTTCATTTCTTTAAGTTCTAACAGGTAAACTAGAAGCGTTGTTTAGTGGTAGAACACTTGCCTAGCACGTGTGACGCTTAGGGCATACTCTCCAGTGACACACAACTCTAGCCAGTGTTCATGTCACCCAGAAAATCATCAGTGATTTTTATCCATTTTTTAGGTTTTCTCTAAAAAATACCCTCTTTTTATTTTATTGATACTTTCTTTTTCTTTCTAGTTTTGTATGTAAACTTAATTGTAAACATGAGTCCACTTTGTGTCTAATTTGAAGTACTTGAGTTGCCTTGTGTAGTGCTGTTGGCATTTGGTAATTACTCATTCTTTGGATACTTTCATGTCATTTCTTAGTGATTCTTATAATCATTGCACCAACAGTGACTGTTGATCTGGAAGACGTTGTGTTCAGAGCTTCCATCCGCATGTTTTTTTGTGTTTTTTTTTTTTTTTGCGGAACTGGGGATTGAACTCAGGCCCTTGCACTTGCCAGGGCAGTGCTTATTCCACTGAGCCATCTCCCCAGCCCCTTTCATGCCATTTCTTGATGTACTTTTGAAGATGATGTGGCCAGCCACTACTAGCATGTGCACTTTTGTTTCTTAAGGCAGAAGCGGCTTACACTGATTTCTTCACATGTGATTGTTTTCCCCCAGAGAACTGGCAGAATTCTTTATGAAATTATTGAATGTGGAGATGTTTGAAAAATCTCCTCAAGTACCTGCCTGGCAAGCACGAGATCCTGAGCTCGATTCCCGGAGAAATTGAGGGGAGAACAGTCTCCTTTGGCTTTCCCTTCTTTTAAGTCCTGGAACCATTTAAGCTAACTGAGAATATTTCTCTTTTTTTCTGTTCTCATTGTCACATGTAGTCTTCACTGAAAAAGTGAGAAATGTATAATTTTACATATGACTGATAATTTTGCTTTCTGTTAAGTTTTACTCAAAATTAGGAAACTTCTTATCTGGAGATTGGCATGTAGATGTATAGAGACATGCATATATATATATAGTTTGTTTTGAGAAGGGGGTCTTGCTCTGTAATTCAGGTTGGCCTTGAAGTCACTGTGATCCTCCTTCCTCAGCTTCCTGCATGCTGGGATTACATACAATTTGAAATTTTTCAATAATGTATTAATGATGAAATATGACATTTAAGACTTGCTATTTCCTCCCTACAAGTGCCACAAAATGCCTGGAAACCTGCTGCCTCTCCCTGTGACCCTCATACCACGGCGACCATGCCATCATATCAAGACCATCCCTTTGGCTGCCACTTTTAATCAAATTATTTCATTATCTAATTTCACTGACCTTCAGAAAACCATGATACTATATTATTTATTGAAGAATAAGTACATATGGGAATAATAGAGATTATAAGAATATTTCTGATTAAAAACTCTGTAAAATGGGCTGGCCAAATAGCTCAGCAGATTCGCAGGGGCTGGGGGTTTGATCCCTGGTTGTGGTGGCGCATGCCGGTAATCCCAACTCTTGGGAGGCTGTAAACAGATGGATCACTATGAGTCCGATCTAGTAGTAAGACCCCGAATATCCTGGAGGCCCTTCCCTAAAATACACACACAAACACACACACACAAAACCCACACAAAAACAACTCTGTAAAAGCATTTGAAAGATATCAGTGGGATTAGGTAAGAATGATATACTTTAATTCTTTCTACGAATATGTTTAATAAACTTAAGGAATTCAGATATTAGCCTGATTTCTGTGTTTTATTCTTCCCTTTCTACTATATTTTTCTTTTTTCCAGGAGCATGGCCTGTTCTCATTGATGACTTTGTGGAATTTGCA